TGCAATCCAATATCGCAGGAAAACAGTTCGACGAAAAAATAACAAGAACAGTTGCGATCAAATACAATGACACGCTTGTTTCAATATTGTAGCGTAGCAACATTTACATTCGTAGGCAAGAATTTTTATCTTAGTTCCACGAAATTGTAGGATAGTCCTTTGTATGGGTCTGTTCTCGCAGCCCTTTTTTTCATGGCTATCTAACTATCTATAGTAGAAAGAAATTTTTTTCAACTCGGTCAATCGTTATGTAGAACCGTCCTCGAATATTTATCTTCTCCCTCAGGAAATTCAGTATCTTCAAATGTCTTATTACAACATTCAAATATTTTAACGAAAAAATAACAAAATATATGATTGAAACTTCTCAAAATATTTTTATTAATAATATTTTCTATTATAAATAAACTTTTCGTTTTCTATATTATTTTTGTACGATACATTTTATTGTATATTAATAATAATTGTATAATAATTTTATGTTATATTGATTCAACTTATATTGATTCAGATATTATAGATTATGATTTCTAATGAATTTCATAATTATATAATTATATATTATATAAATATATAATTATACAATATTTTTTTATTTAGTTTTGTAAATCTGTATATAATTTTTTTTTTTTTCATAAAAAAATCTTGTTGCAATTTCAATAACTTTCATTGTGATTCAAAATTTTAATTATTTTATAGATTCCTAATTATTATAAATATTTTATGTCTTTGAAAATAGTTAATTTTTTATACAAAATATCTATTTGAATATGTTTACACATAAAATGGCGCAATATTTCATTTTCTATTACAAATAAGTTATTGAATTTATAATAGGTATATAGCAATAATAATTTCTTTTCATTATTCTTTTGTCTTTTGTTTTTTCATTTGCATTTATGCAATATATAAGAAGTATAATTTTTCTAGTTACGTATACGTTTTATTTTGTTTTAATTATGTATATGTTCAATTTTGTGAATGACTGTACTCTTACGAAATGTGTAATTAAATACACATTTCGTTTTAATCTTCCTCTGTATTGTAACTGTCGAAAAGAATTCTACATTTAAGTTGCAGGAAGTATGTGTAAGGGACTACACTTAGGGGAGTTTCGTTACGACATAGCTTTTTGTAGATATATAACTACACCACACAATGTTGCGCCAGCCGGCTGTTATATTGTGAGCATAGGGCTTTGGGTAGAAGTATACCCTACCATCATTTTCTACATTTTCGAGCGCGGTTGCCACAGGCAAGTAGACGCTACAACCGACAGACTGTGTTGGAAGAAAATATTACCATGCTTTCAAATTTTAATCTCATATGAACCTTTCCGTAGAATTCGTTTCCTCCAATTAGTTTCTACTATATTTTACAAAGAGTACTATCTGTCATCACTGTTATGTTGAACAGTAAAAATTAAAAAATATATTTCAAATATCAATTTAAAAAAAAATTAGTTTTCGTACAATTTCAAATTTGAATGTTTATTTGAATTTTTTTTTTTTTTCGTAAGATTTAATATTTTGTATTTTTTGTACATTGTAATGTATTTTTCTCTTTAAAAGTTTTGTTAATAAAGTTTTATCAAAATTTGAATATCAGAAAAAGATAATATAAACTTTTATTTATTTATGACATGATTTTTCAATATTATTAATTAAATGAATTTTATGACTAAATATTTAAATTATGAACGTGGTTTTGTATATTATTATATTTAGAATAATTAATTTTTGATTTTTTATATTTCAATGAAATTATAGAAAATCTAAATGAAATTTTATTTAAAATGAAAATAAAAAATAAGTTTAAAATATTATTTTGTTTTAATTTTATATTAAGTAACTTATGAAAAGTTACTTTATTTATCTCAATATAAACTATTTTAAAATAATGTTTTAGTTTAATATTTTAATTTAGTAGACGCTTCCAAATGAAATAACAATTTTAAATGTTAATTTAATGTTAATGTTAATAAATTTAATGTTATTTTATTTGAATCACATATTTTTCCATATATTTGAATTATAGAAAATAAAACTGAAGTATTCTACAACATGTTAATATTTTTTTTCCAAATTATTTTCATTTTACTAATTTTTTTAATAAAAAGCTAATATAATTGAAAGACTATGAATAATATTATATAACATTATATAATATATAATATTTATATTTATATTTTAATAATATATTTTAATAATATAATATTTATATTTTAATAATATATAATATTTATATTTTTGATACAATTAACATAATAAGATTAAAAATTATTTATAAATTTATTTTAGGAAATTAAAAATAAAATAAAAAATTATTTTCTTTTATAATAAAATAATAAAGAAATGATTCAATTTCTCAATTTATTTTAGATAAATATATATCAAATAAAATATTATTTTAATGATCATTTTTCAAATATTTTATTTAAAAAATAATTTTATTCATTAATGTTTAAACGATCTGTTTAACAATTTTATAATACATTTATATGATATATTAAAAGTTTTTGAAAATATCTTAAATTACGTATAAAATGTAATGTAAATTATCATTAAGAAAAGAAAATTTATAGATATAAAATAATTCATCGTGTCGGATCCTTTTGTAACGAAATAAGAAGGAGATAACATCACATATGGTGATCTGTGTCTTAACCTGTGAGACCCACTCCTTTCCCGCCAGAAATTCTGGCGCCAACGTTTTGACGCTACTTTCGGATTTGTCCAGGTCGGTCGGAATCCGCTTGGTTGCTAGGCAGGAAAATTCGAATGGCAGCTGTGAGTCGTGAATAACATTTGGCCGAAACTTCTGCGATGTTTTGTTGCAATTGAAGTGGAGAAAAGGATATTCCGCCTGATAATCTTCGATTTTGTCTTGCATATTCGATTGCTTAAATTTTCTCACGCATTTTCTGCTGTGCTAATTAGCAATGCACGACAGATGCTTGCCAGCTCGCTTCGACAACGTTGTTTGTTGTTCGTGACGCTATGCTGAATTCTGAACGCATGCAATCCATGCGTCTGTTTATCGTGAATGGCTTCTTGTCTTTAGAAATTTCATTGATTATCTGTTTGTTTCTTAAATTTCATTGATTATTTGTTTATTTCTTCGTTTGATCTTAGAATTTTTCGAAAAATTTAATTTTAATATTATAAATTTTGTTACATATAATAAAAATATAATATATGTTTTCATAAGTATCATTTTTATATTTATGCAAATAAATTATGATTATGATCTTTTGTTAATAAAAAAGAATAATTAATTTTACTATTAAATTTTTATTTATTTAATATCATTTAACGTTTTTCAATTAAATGAGGTTATATTATTATTTGATATATTTGTCGTTTTATTTGAACATAAATTAATTATTAATTAATTAAGTTATCTTATATTTAATTGTTTACAAAAATGTATATGTAAATCTTATTTTAATCTAATGGAATACTTTCTTCATTTTGCGATATTGCAATAAGTTATTTTGATATGAATAAAAAGTATAGTATTTGACATAACTAATGCGATTCATTATTTATCTCCGTTATTTATCTCAAAAAGACTACAAGATATCAGTTTTGTTTTTTTCTCTAATTTATATTTTTGATAATTAAGTAAATAGGAAATGCCAGTTGTTATCGAAAAGTAGATAATAAGAAGAGACATTTCAGATAATATAGGAGCAACACTAATGGATTTTTTTCACACTTAAGATTTATTTTAATATTTTGTTCTTATTATATATATATATATATATATATATGTTAGTTTGATAAGAGATAAATATATTTTTTTATGCATCATGATATAAAACAGTTTTTCTTGAAATAATGTAAAATTTATTTGTATCGCAGTAGGTAAAGCAGTATGTTTTGTTATCAATCTATATTATTTTTTAATATATTAAATAAAAATTAGGAATTTGTATTTGTAAATGAGTAATTTGTAAAATTTCAAAGGCATGTAATATTGAAATTATTTAATTAAAGCTATTAATAAAAATTAATATCAATTGAATTTTCAAGATTTAAATTTTTTTCAATTCGATTTATTATATTATTTTTCATATTGAGAATATTTCTCATTTTTGATAATTTTTATATATTTGTTATAGATTTGATATAGATTTGATTTTTGGCAGCATCTAAACATTTTAAAAATAATTTAATTTAAAATTAAACTTCAAAAAATAATATGTTCTTTTTATTAGAAAGATTTTTAAAATGAAAAATTACAGTGATAAATTAATGTATTTTAATTATATTAGAAAATTTTTTAATTTTATTTTTGTGTGAAAAAATAGAAATTTCGCTAGTACTGTCTCATTATTTTACCGACTATAGTGTCGATAAAAAACAAATCTACTATTTCCAAGAATAATTTGAATGTTACCATCTATAATAAATTTTATTTTTTTATAAATTTTATAGAAAAAATTTTGATAATATAAAAATTTTAAACAATTCATATATTCTTTTATATAATTATATTAATAAAGATTATTAATTTAATGATATATCAATTTTATATTATTAATAATCTTTAATTATTTAATGATATATCAATTTTATATTATTAAAAAATTCAATAGAAATAAAAAATTTACATATAAAAAATATAAATTTATGATAATATTATATCATAATAATCGATAAGAATATTTTTAAAGAAATTATGTTTTATTATTTATTATGTGTTTTATATTTCATTATTATATATTTTTTATGTTTTATTAAATCACGCAAAGAAGATTTAACATTATTATTTCTTATAATATGAATAATAAAAAATAAATACGATATCTTTTTCTAATATAATAAACATGTCATTTTAATATTAAGTTTCATAGTTTTTTCGGAAAAATAAATAAATAATAAAATATTTTTTTATAGAATATTAAATATAATAACATATATATAAGAAATAATGATTAAATGTAATAAATTTATATGTTTTAATTATATTTTTTATTCAATTTTTGTTAACAGGCTAGTCGTACCCTCGCTCCTTGGGAACATTTGTTACCGTGTCCAAAATGTTCGTTTCCTTGTCACGTGGACGGTGAGAAGAACGTAGGGACGTGTTCAAGACAAGGTTGTTCGATGGAATTTTGCACCTCCTGTTCATCAAGACCACATACTGGTCCTTGTAAGACACCCCTGTTAGCAACGCCGACGAAGAGGAATAAACGGCTGGTCATTGGCTCAAAACAGAGCAAACGGAATCTCAGGAGATTATAAACATTTTCGTTATTATATGTCGAGAATGTTTTTGTTTTAATTTTATTATTTTTCTCGATAAAATAATTCTTCTCGATAATAATCTTCAAAAATGAAGAAAATGTCGAGAATTGTAAGAAATATAATTTCGGGATTATTTTAATTGTTATGATACGCAGTGTTTTGGAAGTGTGAAATGGACATCGTTAATTTAAATGGTTCGACCAATAAAATAGATTTTTAAATCTGTATGTTATAAAACTTTAAAAAAGAACTATAAAGAAAAAAAAATATTTTAATCTAATATAGTTTTAAATATATTTCATAAATGACCATTACATTTTTACAAATAATTGTTTTCATTTGTAAATTATGATTTATAAATGAAACTGACGATTATTAATAATTTTAAAATTAAGCTGTTAAAGTTTATCGATTTCGAACCATTTACGATGTGCGTTTAATCAGATAAGTATATGGAGGAGAGAGGTATCTTTTAGAGGAGGAAAAAACTCTTAGCACTAGTTACTTTTTTTATTTAAAAAAAAAAAATCGAAATTTAAAAACTCTTAAGATACGTCTTTTTATTAATTTCATGGTGAATTATTGGAAGGTTTATAAAATTTTAAGAAACTATTATTTGTTCAAATTTTTTAGAGTTCATAAATTTCAAAATTTAACAAATTAAACATCATTTTTTTAGAATCATAAATTCACAACGTGATTGAATGTTACCTTTCACGATCAAAAGAATTTTTATATGGCTCTTAAATTAATTGAATCGGTAGTGAAATATTTCAACGTTTCTCTCAATATTTTATTCGGCAAATCGAGATGAAGAGAAAAGGGCCGAAAATTGTCGATTAAGAAGACAAGAAATCAGAAAAAGAGAAAAAGAGAAAATATGAGAAAGAATATGAGAACCAAGTCGTAAAACTTTTAAGGGCATAGGCCGACACTTTGCATTGACCACTTTTTACCCAGTCAAACCCACCGTGTTTCACGACGTGATGAAGCTAGCAGAGAGGTTAGTTAAAAACAAAGTTGTGTCTTTTTGACCGACTGGTCTTCTTTGTTACGCGAACACTCTCTTATAAAATGATAACCGTTGACGTCGGGTGTTATTTATGATGTGATGTATTTCAAGCTTCTAATTTCTCTTTAATTAAGTCTTGGTTAATTGGTGCGTTTTCTGTCCACTAATTTCTGAGTTGTGGGATTTCAAGTCGACAACTTACAATGCAATCGAATCGCGGTAAAAACATCGACTGAAATAGATCGTCGAAAGAAGAATGAACGATCATTGAATTTTAATGAAATGAAACGTTAAGTGTCGGCAGAATTTTAACGTTCGTAAAAAGGAAATTTATATTTGATTGTGTCTTATTTTTAAAGATATATCGATTCAATGAAGGCCAAATTGCTTTTTTTTTAATCTTTTGACCAAATTTCTCAATAATTTTAATTTTAATATATTATTAATGCGGAAAATGCATTCTCTTAATTTTGATTAAGTTATTTCAGTCTGTCTCTCATTTTATTTTATTAATATCACGAAATTTATTTGACAATAATATGAAATAAATTTAAAATGTTCAAATGTAATTATTCCTTCAAAAAAAAAAAATCTATTTTTATTTATTGGAAATTTTCTACTTATGGTTGAATTTTTAATATGAGTTTTATTCATTGGAAATTAGTGACCACGTGTGAGCAAAATGTACCTCGTGCAATTTAAATATCGTCTTTTGTTCGTTGAATCGTAATTTCGATACATTTTCTTTTTCTCTCTTATTGGTTATTCCCCTCTTAAGGTGTGACCCTCTCTCCAAAGGAAACAAAGAAAATTTGTTTCATGTGTGTACGTATTGCTCCTAGTCTCATAAACTGCGAGATCAAAAAGAGGATTGCCATGACTCGTAGAAAGGGTCGCTCAAAAAGTATTATTGAAGTATGTCTAGCTCTATAGTAAGATAAAAGTTGTGTAAGTATGAATGGAAAGAGGAAATGTACAGTACTAGAAATTAGAGAATGTGAGTCAAGTATCGGGAGATAAAAAAGGGTAGTAATGACAAAAACTTTTTCAATGAGAACATTTTTTATCAAGAATGTAATCATCCTTTTTTTTAAATAATAATCGAGTTCAATATGGATGATCAATAAAAATTTGCTAACATTTAAACGAATCTTAAAGTATTATTTTGATATTATTGATATTGATATTCAATTTTTCCAAAATTACTATTATTAAATTTAACAATAGAATCTATATTTCTTTTAACAGAGTATATTATTTCTTTCATGAATAAAGTTTCTGTCAATATTACACCCAAGGTTTCAACATTTGAACCGGTACAAAAACGAGAATACACTTTTGTGCCATTTGTAATTTACGCCATAAGAATTGCCATAATGTATCTTGTTTTTTTAATTAATTTTTATGCAAAAGAAAAGACAGAGAGATGTGTCACATTATAAGGATAAAATCAAAGGTAGATGCTTCTCTCTTTTTTTTCATATCTTAAGAGCCATACTTTATTTTTTACGTTGTTCTAGTGTGCTAGTATGCCACGTCCGTATGTTCGTTTTAAAGTTTGAATGTCCACTTTCTTTTATTTATAATTAGTTTTTTCCGTTTCTTTTTCGTTTGAATGTTATTTTTGTACCGGTGTATGCTGGACCGCAAAAGACTGCATGTAAATAACCAGCGTATAGTAATATATTCGTGTTCGGTTAATTAATAAAATTTCGTGATTGATATTCATAATTTCATTTTTAATTGATTTTTTCAAACAATGAAATGAAAATTTCTTTTGTTTTCTGCGAAACCATGACATATATATTGGTAAAATATTTTCTTCATTTTATTCACTTTATATACAATAAAAAAGAAATATAAAAATAATAAAGAAAATATTTTATTAAAAAATTGATACGTATATAAATAAAGAATTTAATTGTAATAAAATATCTTATTTTTCATTGTATGAATATTTAGAAATTTTAATCAAATAAAATTATAACTTTCATTATTAGTAAAGTGTTTAAATATCGATTACGAAATTTATATTTTGTAAAGAAAAAAAAAAAA